CTTTGTACTATTGTAAAAATAATGTTGAATAATAAATCTGTCGAATCTTAATTAGATTAAAATTAATATACAAAATTCTTTTTTTTTTTCTTTTTAAATGCAGGAACAAAAAACTCCAATATGTTTCATTGTGCCTTCTATCATTTTAATTGTTTTTTCTTTGTTATAATTAGCACAGCACTTTAATATGCAAAGTTTTCTTTTTCCCAGATTTATCTTATGCACACATGCATGCATGTGCATACAAGCATATAGTTGTTCTAGGTTGGTTATTGCTTTGTTATTGTTTTGATGGAACAGTTGTTGCTCAAGGCCAACTCAGCAGAGATACATTCTTAATTTTCCTTATGCCAAGCACCAAATAGCAATCCAATCTGGAAGCATAACCCAAAGTCCTAATTTATTTCTCTTCTATAACCAGCAATGGCTTTACTTCTTATATCAGTCCTTCAGTGCAAATCCTTTCCCTATGCTGTTATTAATTTGGAGGTGAAATAGGCACAGCATACAGTATTCTTGGGCATGCAGAGTCAGTAGCAGAACCCTGGTCCCTGAGCCTCTTCCACTGTGGACCACAACCTGAGCAAGAGGTATTAATAGTGCGAACTGTGCTGTTCTCACTGAACATGGTCAGAAAAGAAACTATAATTAATTCAAAAGAACCATGCAGCTTAGGAAGCCACTAAAGCTCTTTCAGCCCTTACATAACAACTCTCTTGAACTGGTTTCTGAATTTGTGGTTGAAGATGCTAAATAGACTCAGCTTGCTCATGCTTCCTTCAAGGTCCTTCAAGACAAACAAGAAAAAAAAACAAGGATTCCAGGAATGTTATTTATTGTTTAACGGAATCTTTAAAGTCTGTTCTAACTTTTTCCTGCCTCCTTTACATTTACAATAAGGTAAAGGTAGGGCTATTCTGAGTCAATATCAAATCATTTTCCCACAACTAAGCAACCGTTTTGCTCTCCCTCATTCCTCTCAAGGCCAAAACTAAATTCTTCTACACCTTTTTCTTAATGCACCCAATAGCAGTACAGTCATGAAAGGGTTATCCCATTCCATCATCCGTTTGTGCCTGATTGCTAAGAATAAGAAAAATATTTCAGGAAATGGATATCCTATTTAATAGCTTTTGGTCCTAATGCAGGGCCCAGCGTATACTCTATGAATCATAGTCTGAGCAGCATAACTATTGGCCTTATTTTCTGGGAATTATGAAAGTTGAAGTCTAGCACATCTAGATGAGGTGAAGTTAGCAGAATACTGTTTACTCGAGGATCTGGAGTGGTAGGTTACACTTAATGAACTGAAAATTGGAAGCAAAACAACATGCAAACAAAATGTTAATTCATTTTAGGCAGTCCAAGGAAATTAAGAATGGTGGCACCATTAGAACAGATATTTTAATTCTGTTCCATAGTATAAACAAATGATAATTGTTATAAATTAAACTACAAAGCAAGATTCAGGAGGCACAGACAATCAGATACGGAGCAGACTGTACTCAACGGGTGCCATGTTGCACTGGTTAGCACATCCAGACAGTTAAGTTCATGAAAATCCTATTATAAAGAATGAGACAGCAGCAAGAAAAAAATGTAATTGAATGTTGCTATAGCATTGGTCTTCAGTTAACTGAAAACCTTTATGATCCTGCTTCCAGAGTTTATACTTAGTGCCAGAATCTAATTTTTCAGGGATAAATTAGATAATCAGAAGAACTGTTTAGAAATAGGGAGTTATTTTCAAAAAAGCTTAATTTTTTCCCCAAGAAATTTTCTTTTGATGAAATACCCCAGCAGTCATCATCATGGATATGTAGATTTATGGAGCTCAGCAGGATTTCACCCTTTATATTTGAATTAGCTAGTAGCATCCTGGTGTAGCCAAAGAGGCAATGATGGTACTGAAGGATTTGGGTTCTGCTTTTTCAGAAGAAAACTTTTTAAAATCTACACAAAATGGCCATCTTTTAAGCTAACAGTATCTTATAAGGAAAGATTTATTTTTTGATCCCCATACAACCCTTGCCTGATCATGTATATGCTGTGAATAATCTCTGACGTGTCAAGAACTTGTCCCATCATTGGTTGGGGGAAAAAATCGATCTTTGGATTAAGCCATTAAAATGCAAAGTGGAAATCTTGAAATCCTTTTTGCTAAGTAGAAGTGCTATGTCCATCTTGGTAACGTTGCCCAGCTATATGAATTATCTTCAAGAATGTTCAATCTTTGCTGCAACTAGAAAGTTTTAAAAATACATTTCCACAAGTCTCACAAGGACCTGTATCTCTAAATGCATCTCAGTAAACATTATCCTTGGCATTTCTTACTCAAATGAAGGAAGATTGATGTTGACACTTTAAGCAGTATCACATAAAACATCAGAAAAAGCTGAATTGCACAGTATTAACAATTTCAAAATAATGAATAATGGCATATTAAACCTTCTCAGAAAGGTTTTCATGGTTTTTCATGTTTTCCATGCTTGCTTTTTAAAATATTCAGAAATGAGAACACAGCTTGCCTCTGTAATAAAAAAGCAATATATTTTTGCATATTAAAATGACTGCTTCTGTTAGTACATCTCTTTGTAGCTGTACCACTCCTTTCCCAAGAATTCAGCAAGCTATAAGGGGTCCATACTATCTAAGGTAATATGGTGTAGTTATTCGTGCTCTAGGCAGGACCAGGAGAACATGTTCAAATTCAGCCTCAGTCATGGAAGCTTACTGAATAACTTTAAGCCAGTCATTTTTTGTTTGTTTGTTTTTAACAATTGGGCTTATCTATAAGTGCTATTATCTCTCTCATTGTTTTCAGAAGCCCCCATTTTGTTTCAGTCTAACTACCTGAGTTTGTTGCTTGAGAGTGATGCATGGCATTTTCTTCTTCAGATAATTTAAGTAATTTCAGTTCTCAGAAGAAACCATTAAATACCTATAAGGGAAGGTAACAGTAACTCAACAAACTGTTTCACTTCACAAGGTACCCATCAGCTTCTTCTAGAGCAATTCTGAAAATACTGATACAACTGCTTTGCTGCTTTAAAATAAGGTTAATTTGTATTGCATCTGTATCAAATTGGAAACATGCTTAGCTCAACTTTAAGGATGGAACCAGTATAACCTGCCTTCTTGTGTGAGGTCCTTTTGTGGAGATTCTCTTTCCAGTGATGACCTTCTTGATTATGATGTCCTTTCATGATTTTGATGTATTATAAATGAAAGAACAACTGGTTCTTCCTAAATACAACCTAACATAAGATTTTTTCTTTTTATAGTGGATGATTCAAATCCTATTCCCATTTCATGGGCTGTTATAGTAGTAGTCATAAAGAATTTATCCTCTCAGATTGCCATACTACATAGTTAGTTTAAAGCATGTTGACATAAAGTTAGTTTAAAGCATGTTGACATAAAATAAGTACTTGCTATTTTGGAAGACTGATCTAGGAAATCCAACTATTTTGAAGGAATATAATTGATGTCCAATATCATTATTGCTACAATATTACCGTTGTAATGTTGGTTAACTTGGTTAATTATCTTGACCATAATTTTACACTTACAGATGCCAGAACTTATTAATTTAATAAATAAAAATTGACTTAGTATGTGAACTATTATACATTTCCTTTTGTCTGATGTAGATACTTGGGATATTATAGAGAAATTTGTGTACCATATTCACTGAATATAACAGCTGAAGAAGGCAGAAGCCAAAATAAATATTTTTCTGTTTCTAGTTTCTGTTGTATTAATCACTCTTGGATGCATGGATGAAGGGGGATGGATGTATAAATAGACACATTATTGTAGACTCATATTATATTGTACAAACAAAGAAAAATACATGATTTCTGGATCTCCTGTATAATACTATTTTATCTGATGTTAAAATCAGTGTTAGCTTTGAAAAATGGGCTAACTTTTCTATGCTCTTGCTGTTCATTTTTAAAATTGCTTTTAACCCTATTGGAGGAAAAATTGTTAATATACAGGAATTTGTATATTATGAAAAAAATATTAATAGACTCTGGGAGAAGTTTATATCAGAAAAATAATATGGGCCAACAGTTAAAGTATTTCTCACACAAGAAGCCCCCGACAGGAGCTCTAAAGTAAAATAAACATAATTTAATTATGGATCAAATTATAACATTTAATTTGTTTCATTATTTATAGTGAAATGACAAGAAAAACCTGTTTTTATCAATAGAAACAATGGTTGCCATCATCAATAGAGTTTAATCAAAGAAGTATTTTTAAAAATCCTTTCCCCGTCTCCTTCTCCTTCTTGTAAGGCAAAAGTTGAACACATACTTAATTGAATTACCACACTTGACGTAAACTAGCAGCTCTTTTTTTCCTTCCACGCTGTACATACTTCATCTATGTGTAGAACAGACCGATGCTACTAACACTTTTCAATTATAAAAAGTTTTATGAAAGAACATAGAACTATTTTCTGATATTATCCAAGAATTGGTGTTAAATGTATAACTGAAAAAACTGCTGGTAGATAAATGTTTGTTGTTAAATGCAGGAAGGGAATCAGACTGAAATTTATAATCTGAAGTTTAAAATCCATTATGGGAACGTATGGATTATTTCTCCATAAGACACTCTAAACTAAAGTGAACTGAAATTAAACTGAAGCTGACCTATATGTTCTTCCTTTTTTTTCGCAAAGGTGAACACATTTCAGTATAATTATTTTGTAAAAGTTTCAAAGGGCTTTAAGCATTATGATTGGTTGCACAGTCGGCCAGATATTTAGACTGGATTTGGCCCATTTCCAGACTATATTGATATCCATAATAACACTTTTACTTGGTGCCATATATATTTATTTTGTACTCTTTTAATAATTTTAATGGTTTTTATGTTTTATGCCTAGAGTCCTTTGTTGAGATGGGAGGCTTTAGAAATCAAATAAATAAATGAATGTAGAGTTTGCAAATGGTCCTGAAGATATGTTTATTTGTTTTTATTAGAATGATTGAAGATTGTGGGAAAAGAGGCGCTACCATGGCAGAAAGGAGGCAGCTGTTTGCAGAAATGCGTAAGTGCTATAGCATTTTATATTTTGTTTTGTTGTTTTTCCAACAGATGTAAGATTTCTTGGGAAAGGCCAACAAGATAGAATATACCCGTGGAAAATATTACATGGATTTTTGCCCTGGGCTATAGGCAGTGTGTTCTACAAAACAAGACTTTTCAACACAAAGCAGGAGCAAGAAATTACATTTAATTGACAAAATGCTACTTTTTTATTATTTCAATGCAGACATAGAGCTAAATATCTCTAGTATTCTCTCTTTGGGAGAAAAGGAATGTGAAAGTCAAAGCCATTGTTTCTCACCAATAACCATACTGAAACTCAAATATATTTTCTCACTGTAATTCAATTTTCTTCACTGGATGCTGACCATATTTGCTGGGACTGAATTTTCCCCAGTGCTTAGAAAACAAAGGCAAAGTCTGTTCTAATTCTATATAATCTCAGGTGTGTCTTGTTCTATGTAATCTATGTAGTTTGTTTTGGATTGTTCAATCCCAAGCAATGCGTTGACGTTTTTCTGGGTTTCTTAAAATCATACTTTTGGTTTCTTAATTTTAAATATGTTTAAAAGTTTGCCAGAATACAAATGTTTGACATTTTAATTTGTGGGTAGAATTGAAACAGTATGACGTTGACATTAATATTAGAAGCGTGCAATGCTTCAGGCTGAAAAGCAACAAAAGATTTTTGAACTATAAGGAGTCATACATGTAGCAGCTGTCTGCAGTTCTTAACCTGAATATGTCTTTTCCCAAAATCGTGTGGTGCCAGTGAGGGACATCTATGCAATAGCAGGAAGAGATATGCAGACAAATGCCACACACTCCGAAGGACCTCTTTTCCTTCAAATTCAGTGTGCTGTGCACTCTAATTAAGATACTTTAACTTACAGTTGAACTGAATCTTTCACAATGCACCTGGTCAACAAACTAAAGTCATCTAAACAACTAAAGCAAGGGTCTTCCAACTTGACCCTTTTATGATTTGTAGACTTCAACTCCCAGAATTCCTCAGCCAGGCATGCTAACTGAGGAATTCTGGCAGTTGAAGTCCACAAGTCATAAAAGGGCCAAGTTTGAAGATCCCTGATCTAAAGCCATCTAAAGCATACCTATATATAAATAAAGATCCAAAGCTATATCAGTGTTTTGTAGATGCATTTCAACTGCATCTTGACTTATTAATGTGATGGATTGGTCCTTCAAATAGATCTTGTAGATCTGTATTACTAATATTTATTCTCATTGTTAATGACCCAGTTAATACTTGAGGAATTATTATTATGGAAGTTCCTCAAAAGACTCAATTCTTTAAAAAAAATGTATTTCTTTGACAGGGAACGAAACAGAGCTGTGTTAAAACAAAATTTTTAAAAAATCCCAGAAATATTTAAAAAAGAAAAAAGCAAACTTAGTAATATTCAATAGTTAACATATGACAATAAAAAAAGAAAAAAACTGGGGATCACTTGAATGGTTTCTTATGTGTTTGACAACATGACCAGTGATTAAAGTAAATTTTCAGGATGAAACACTGAATGGTTCAGGACAATCTTTGCCAGCAACAAATGGCACTGAAACAGTTTGTTGGTAAAAGGAACTTGTCTAGAGTATTTGGTGGGTGAAAAGGAAAAAATAAATAAAAGTTTTGTTAGTAGCAATGGAAAGTTGGAGATCTCCGTCTTAAACCAACCCTTTCTTAACATCTTTTAAATAAAACCTTCTTGCTAGTGGGCTAACCAATGAGATGCTTCCATTTTGCTAATTAAATTTCATTATTTTATCATAACCAAAGCATATTTCATTATATTCTGAAAACAATAAACAGTATCTTTGAATCATAAGGCTGAAGTTGTTTGATTTTACCTTGGAGAATTATCTTAGCCTAGTTGTAATAAAAAAAACAGATTTGTGTTTTCGGAGTAGAGCACTATTTTTTTTCTTTTTCCTGCCTTTTTCTCACAGATCCCCAGATTAGGATAACCTTTGCTCCAACATTACAAATAGACTGGATGTATTAGAACATAGTAAGTGCTCAGGCAAAGGAGTCCTCTTGCAATCTGTGTTCTCCAATGAATGTTATAAACAAATTTATCCAAGGACCGTAAGTAGGTCATATCTGGTTTAAAGATAACATATCAGCTTCAGTCAAGCAAAGATACTGACTCACAGTTGATGCTAACAGTTGTATCTGACTGCTTTTCTAGCTTGGTTACATAAATCGGAAAAGGGTAATTCACTATTAACAGCAGAAGCCTTTTTTATGCAAGTCTGGTGCATCCCAAATTATTTACCAAATTCTTTGGGAGAGTAAACCACAAAATTATGTTAGTATGATTTCCTGCAAATACTAGGAAGAGAATTAAAGGAACAGGCATGTTAATTCTCCATGTCCATTACTGATAAAATTTAATTTTCCAAGTAACAAAAAAGTCTTTAAACCCAGCCTGGCACTTCAGTAACGGTGTCAGATCCCTGCCTTAGCTCATGGCTGCTAAAAAATAACAACTTTTGCCCTTGGTTGCAGAAAGATTTTCTTTCCCTGTCATAATCAATAGATTAAACTTCCACTGAAATAATTGTGCGAGTTTATTACTCAGCTTACCATGCTTTGTCCGCCTTCAGAAGGACCTCTGGCAATAAATAAATAAATAAAACCCTGTAGGAAATGTCCATGAAGTCATCAAGAGTCCAGTTCAAAAGAGCTTTTTATATAAACCAAACTGTTAATTTTAAGAACTTTTCTTCTATTGGCTTTTGGTATTTGCTTTACATTGTTTGCTTGTAGTTTGATCATATTGGGAGTCAGGCAACATATTTATTTAATGCACAGATATAGTATAGGTGGTACCTTGCTCAATAGTAGTAACTGTGAGAGGGACCTCGGAGTCCTAGTGGACAATCACTTAAATATGAGCCAGCAGTGTGCTGCAGCTGCCAAAAAAGCCAACACAGTGCTAGGCTGCATTAACAGAGGGATAGAATCAAGATCACATGAAGTGTTAATATCATTTTACAATGCCTTGGTAAGGCCACACTTGGAATACTGCAGCCAGTTTTGATCGCAACGATGTACAGAGAAGAGCAACAAAGATGATTAGGGGACTGGAGGCTAAAACATATAAGGAACAGTTGCTGGAATTGGGTATGTCTAGTTTAATGAAGAGAAGACCGAGGGGGGACATGATAGCAGTGTTCCAATATCTCGTGGGCTGCCACATAGAAGAGGGAGTCAAACTATTCTCCAAAGCACCTGAAGGCAGGATATGAAGCAACGGCATGACACATCCACTCTGTGGGCTAGCAGTTTGATACCCCTGGTATAGGGTTTCCTGCCTGAGCAGGGGGTTGGACTAGATGACCTCCAAGATCCCTTCCAAGTTTTTTATTATTATCATCATCATCATCATCATCATTATTATTAAACTATATTGGCTTTCAATGTAATAAATTGAAAGTTTGAACTTCCCCTTTGGTAAAATCTTTTACCTAAAATTAACTTATTCTGTGTAGGTAATAAAAAGCCCCAAAATATCCTAGAGAAAGCTTATTTGAGTACTGTTGGGTGAGGTTTAGGTACAGAACACATATATCTTAGCACATATATTTCTCTACCATTAGGGGCTCAAGATCTGGATCGTATCCGTTTGTCCACTTACCGAACAGCATGTAAGCTTAGATTTGTGCAGAAAAAATGCAACTGTAAGTATATCACTGATTAATTTGTATTACCTTCATTAGTCTTACTACTGTAAAATTGTGCATGTTCTACGTCTGTTAGAAATTAATGTTAATAAACTTTCAGAAAATGCAAATAACATCACCTGACTCTTCAGAAGAGCAAGGTAATCCACAACTCTTTATATCTGCATCAAAACTTCTAAACTTACATGCAGATATAAAGAGGATAGAGCTTATAAACTACTGAGGTAAAATTCTAAGTAAACTATAGCAAACAGCTTTCCTCTCACAATTTTGCTGTTTAATACTATTGTGTTTATTTATTTTTTTGGGTATTATCTTTTGCACCTTGGTGTAACTTAACTTTTAAATGCCTGCAGTAACAACATAATAATTTTTGCTTTTAAAAATTTCACTGTTAGAATGGTAAATAAATTAGCATGTTTTTACTTACAAAGAATTAATTATATAGGCTATCCCTGGGAATGTGACATGCTTTTCAAATGATCAGCACTATACAATTATTTGGCAATATCTATTAGCATTTTCCATGCTACAGGAATCAAACACTGTAGCATTCAACATCATTTAAAAGATGTCTATGGGAGTTTATATAGGAAGGATTCTTTCTTTGGCTCTGTTTCCAAGGTGGATCATGAGTACTTCTTCAGACAGTACAGTTCTTTGCAATGCAGACCTCATCTCTCATTATTTACTATTATTTGTAGAAACTTGAATGCAATGATTATTTTTTTTGCCTGAGTCACTAATTAAGAGAAACGCAGCTTTCATAGTTTAGGGGGTATTTAAAAACAGAAGAAATGAAGCCTTTTCTGTTCACAAGAACTAATACATGTAGCATCTGCTCAGTGTCTCTCCTGCTATTCATCTCTCCATTTGTGTTGGTGGAATGTCATACTGTACATTGGTTTATACCAAGCATGGGCAATCTGTGTTGCATGCAATCCTTGGTTGCAAAAATAATATGGCCTTTAGGACAGCAATAAATTCCATTTGCATTTCCTATTGAATGGCTGGTTGTTGATTTTCTATAAATTTGGAAACCAGAGTATAATATAAGGAAGAATCATATTGTTTAAAATTGATGGGATGACAAAAATAGAATTAAATTTGTATGTGGCCCTTGAAGAACCCACACCTTTAAAGATCTACTTTCTTAATTAAATAAACAGTAAAAGAGTAAGTAATGCTAATGCTATGATATTCCTATGTGCTAACCCTTCTCCTTTGTTCTAAATGTCTACCTAAGGACGTTTCTTTCAGTGGCAATATTAAAGTTGCTTTAATACATCCCTATCCTCCTCCAACTTTGCTTTTAATTTCCTTCTTGATCTTTACCATTCCTTTCCTTCTTCTCTTCTACTGTACTAATCTTGCCTAATCCTTCTATGCATAACTTGGTTCAGACAGAGTCTTGTAAAGATGGAAGCATAAGTATTACCTACATCATGGTGTAAGAGTACATACCTGAATGAACAGTTCCAAGGAAATTAATAGTAGATATGTCATTAATAATGAAAATTTCATTCCTTATGTTCAGTTTTCTGTAGCCTTGACTTACAAAAAAGTTTTGACTTTCAATTTGCATGATATCCTTGACTGTAGCCTTCGCTTTACCACTCTCAACCACTTAAAAACCTTTTACTTACCAGCATGACTCATTCTCAGCTTTCACTGCTGCTCTTCTCTCCTTAATCATGGGCATTGTGCTATCTCATTTTTTCATTCTCATAGATGTATCTTCTTCAAAACTCATAGTTTTCATGAAGTTATTAGACCAACTCCTTAATAAATCAAACGTCAATATTTTTGAAGAGCACTTATCTTTAGGCTTTTAACTTTACCTTTTTCTCCCATCATTCCTCTCCCCTTTCTCTATTACTTTCTCCACTTTATATTCTGAACTGGCTCATCTTTAGACTATGAAATGTTCTAAAAGAAACAATATATAAGTTACAGATCTATAGCCATGAACAAATCACCCAATTGACAACAACAAAGATTTTTATATAAATTTAAACAGGATCTATGAGTATAGGTAGTCCTCGATTTACAATAGTTCATTTAGTGACCGTTCAAAGTCACAATGTCATTGATAAAAGTGACATGACCATTTTTTTACACTTACAACTGTTGCAGCATCTCCATGGTCATGTGATCAAAATTCAGGAGCTTGGCAACTGACTTATATTTATGACGGGGTCATGTAATCACTTTTTACGACCTTCTGATAAACAAAGTCAATAGGGAAGCCAGATTCACTTAACAACTGTGTTATTAACTTAAAAACTGCAGTGATTTGCTTAACAACTGTGGCAAGAAAGGTTGTAAAATGGGGCAAAACTAACTTAACAAATGTTTCACTTAGCAACAGAAATTTTGAGCTCAATTGTGGTCATAAGTCAAGGACTACCTATAAAGTCTTGATAAATTAAGGATATTTTCTGCAAAATTAAAAATGGACTGTGCGTATTTTATAGAAATAGAGTACATGATGAAAATTATGAGGGGTCCCAAGCTAAAAGTACAGATAATACCAACATGAATTTTGGGTCTGATTTCAGAATAGTGGGCCACTGTGATAATTAATTCACAGTATGTCTTTAAAAATTGGAATTCCAAAACTACTGTTCAGTTTTCCTTAGTCTAAAATGCTTTATATGCTCATAGTGAAGGTTTTTTGCTTTTATTTTTAATCATTTATTCTTAAAATCATTTAGTAAGCCAAAATCTGCCATTTTTTTACACTGGTCTATAACTACTGAGTCAGAGTGTAGCCACATACCATAATTAAAATTATAAAAGAAAGCATTATTATACAGCTGGAGAGCTACAGTATCACTAGACTTGCTGAATTTTACTCAATATGCTATGTGATTATTCTATAGTGACAACTATAGAAAGAGCAAAGATAGCTGATTTGTTGAGATGAGAACAAACAGTTGATGGTCAGAAGCTTTAAATATAAAGTCAGGCTGATTATTCTTTCATTAAAGCAGCCAAATTGAGAGTTCATATCCTTGATGCTGTTTAATTTGGAATTTTGGAGTTAACTATGTTCGTTTACTCTTCATTTTTCTAGAACAATATCATGACATTTATGGAAAATAGAATAGTGCTGTGCTGACAATGAAGAAAACCTGTTCACTTCCATGCCAGTCTTACTTTTAGTTCTTTTTTTCTTTCCTCATTATATTTGTGGTCAGTCACATTGACAGGCATGGGAATCAAATTCCACACCTTAAAGTTGCCAAGACTAAAAAATACATTGATCTAATGTTTTGTTTGATTCCTGAAAAACATTTTTGGCTTGAATTTGCCATTCATTTTCAGAACCTCTAAGAGCAAACTAGATTGCACATACAAACCCATCTATGTGCATTCCTACTCAATCTAGTTCCTGCGATGCTCCTGTGGATTGTAAATACAAAAATGCCAGCATGCATATGATGCTTGAAATTCCTTTTAATTTCACTGTTAATACTGTATTTATTGATAAGATATTTTTATGTTAATTTAAGTGGTTCATGTTTCTGGCTATTATCATTCATCCTGAATATTTGAAAATGCAGTATTTAATTTTGCTGAAGTGTTAATGTAGCCTTAAGACCGGGTTTTGGTATTATTCAGTGCATAAAATAGAAGCAGAGAAAACATATCTGATTTAAAGGAATTTATCTCCAGGCTTAAAAGATGTGGTACTATTTAAATTTTAAAAGCTCTGGTAACTCAGACCTAACCATGTTTACTTTAACACTTAACTGATTTTAAAAAGTCCTGAGTACACGTTAAAATGAAGAAAGAAATATTATAGCTATTCTTCATATCCTTCTTTTTAAAAGCATTGGTAGTTGGATTTAAAGAAGACGCAAGAATACCTCTGATATCCCAGTTGTAGAATGGTGCATTGGCTGTAAAATCTCTAACCACTGCTATCATAACAAGTCCTCTATATCCGTAGAAATACAGCTGATTCTTTGGTCTCATTGAAACAAGTAGGGGTTTTAGTTAAACTGGTTTCCCTTTCGGAGCAGATTTCCCTCCTCTTTACCTTACAGACACACAGCCAGGAATATCTGCTGTACAGCTGTATTTCTTTGCCTGAATATCCATTTTTTGCTTTCTTGTATGATTCAAAAATTTCTATCACTACTTGTGAAAGTTCACCTTTTGGTTGCATCACTGTTTGAATCACCTTATCTTAGTGATGGCAAACCTTTTAGAGACTGAGTGCCCAAACTGCAACCCAAAACCCACTTATGTATCGTTGGGTGCCAGGTGGGCGTGGCCCATTGGGTGGTTGTGGCCAAGTGGGTGGGTGTGGCTGCGGTGGTAATGGCAGACTGGGTGGGACTAAAAAGTTCAATCAATTCCAACTTTGCGAGATCTTTTTTTCCCCCGCGAGAAGTAGAAATTGATTACTTCATTGAACCTCTTTTTTTTGCACACGGCGGTGGAGGCCGAAAGCAAAAACGTTTTATAAAACCCAGATGAAGGCCTCTGACTGGGGCAACTATGCACATGCCCACAAAAAGGGTTCTGTGTCACACCAGTCGCATTCGTGCCATATCTTTGCGACTATGGGACATGAACATCACCAAAGAGGCACAGGTTCGCAACCATGGACTTGGAGAACAAAATGGATATTGTCAATAAATTTGGAGTGCTTGAGTATGGATAGAAAGGCAATGTTTCCTTGTAAAATACATGGGAAAATCCCATTGGAGCAAAATTCCACTTAGGGTTAGGTCACCATGAACTCATACACCAAAAAGGACATCACCAACAAATTCGGAGTGCTTGGCTATGGCTAGGAGCGCACTTATTTTTTTAGGCTGCCCTATCAATGTTTCCTGGTAAAATACATGGGAAAATCCCATTGTAGCAAAATTCCACTTAGGGTTACGTCATCATGAGCTCATACAGCAAAATGCACATCGCCAACAAACTCGGAGTGCTTGGGTATGGTTGGGGGGCATTTACATTTCTAGGCTGCCCTA